TGTGTGTGTGGGTTGAATAACAGCCTTATTTTGCGTAGTGATATAATTCATGTACAACAGGGGACAAAATAGCGCCTGTTTCTTACATTTTAAGATTGCAAAAACTATTAAAGCGGGGGGTCACGTGCGCACGCGCGCAAATTGAGTTCTAATCGACGATAAAACGCATGCTAACAGCGCAGAGGGCTCATGGGCAGACGCATGTTTTAAAAACCAAACAACAAAACAAACAAAACAAAAAAACGACACGCTATGACCATCTACTGCATGCTCAGGTGACAATCCCCCTGCTTTGCTTTAAATTCTCATGGAAAATGTTCGAATTGGTGACGTCACTGTATCATCGACAAATAAATCTGTAGGAACACATTGTCTGCATGGATTTAGTTTGACAGACCGATCATTTTGAGGTTCAGTGACGTCATATTTAATTCAAAATAAAACTATAAAAACACACTTGAGATTCTAAAAAGTGAACCATTGTGAAGTGAATTCTCCACCCTACACTTTAAAATATGGCATAATATCTCTGCCATAGGAACTTATGGTAAAAGCGTTATAATACTGACAAAATGGCAACTATCCATTAATATAAAATACAACAATCGCTTTCTTGAAAAATAGGCCGATTACCCAAACTTTAGTCCTTATCCTTATATTACACTTGACTACAGTTTATTGAAAAATGAATAAATTATTGTAGGCTTCCACCTTAATTACAAAAACAGTATGCATGTAAATAATTCTTGGATAAACTGTTGATTTTTATGCAAATTATTGTACCTAATTAAGTTATGGCGTGATGTAAGACGACAAAATCTATTCAAATTTGAAATCGATGAGAGTTGTTTTTACAAGGACGCTAATTGATGGACCCAACTTCTGTCCAATCAAAACATTCAATTTAATTGAGGTCAAATACAGCTTTTCCTACCACGACCACGACGGGTTCACAGGAACGGCAATGAATGGTCGGCTCCAGCAAAACCGTGCGAATAGGACGATGTACCAACATATATTCAGGTCCGGGGTTCATCACAAAGTATCTATGTACCAAATTGCATTCCAATATACCCATTGGTACTTGAGATATTAATGGAACAAGATTTGGCACATCCACACATTACTTGGAATATACTCGGTGATTACTTTTCGCCAAATATGCTAATAAATTCTAGGAAGATTGTGTAATCGATACCACATACTTTAGACCTGACCCTTGCCGTTTAAAAATGGGATAAAATACAATTGCTTTGTCGCAACTCAACTTGTTCATCCTGTAAATTGTACAGTGTAATCTTCAACATTTCTTCACGTAATAACAACAATTCGTATATACATTATAACAACAACAAGCATTGCTAAAATTTAACTTACAATGTCTGGGATTTTAACTACAACTAGGTCGATGAAAACATCTGCAATATCCGATTTGTTCTCTACAGGTCTTGTGAGCATGTTATAGCTACTTAGGAGGTCTTCCAACAAACCAGTCTCTTCATCAGCCATTACGTCACTCAAGATGGCTACAGGTACACATTAAAGACTTAATGTATCAAATTAACTATGTGCATCACGTTATCTAGGTCACCACAGCTTAAAAAAGACATATTTGGTGAAGAATGGTAAGCCAGGTTAGCGATATATATCTGGTAAGACTTGTATATCAGGTTACTGAGATATGTTTGGCAAGACGGGTGTGTCAGGCTAACTAAATATATCTGGTGAGACAGTTTTGTCATGGGGTGCGATGCATATAAGATCGTCATCTGCCTCGTGCTATAATAGTAATCACAAGACTAATGTGACTGCATATTCGCCATAATTACAAATGATTTAGAATGTGGATAAACATCTATATTATCATGCCATCCAAATATTTTTAACAAATTATGCAAATTATATTAAATTAACCATTAATTTTGCATCGAGTAAGAGTGGCATATTAAATATATTTTAATATCTTTGCTACCATCAAAAATTACAAAATGCGTCAGGTCATGTCAAATATCATGTCACATCATATTGAACTACAACACATATTGAACTACAATGTATATTTATTTATTAATTAGTTAATTATTACGTTACGAACGCACGCTCTAAACACAATATATTTCGGAGTATTTTCATCACACAGCGTGCCAGTTTGCAGTACGATTCGTTAAATGTTACAGAGAGGATTAGGAAAGTGTTTATTCAAGTTTTCAAGTGCCACGATGAAATATGTATTGCATAATGCGCAGCTTGGCGACTTAATGCTGTCCTGAATAATTTAAAAAGTCTGGATTTTAAAAAGTGTCGAGACATGTAAATTTTCTTTTAACATTGTGTTTTACTGTCTGTTACTTTCAAATATAAAGAAATAATCGATCATTATTACCTGATATAATCAATATTCCGAGCCACTGGAGTGTTCTTTCACGTGGTTGCATTATTGAAATCCACATTGTAGTACACGTATAACGAATTGCACTGTCAGATGTATTATTTACAATAGGCTACTGTTCAATTTATATCTCACTGAAATGCTATTCCATCTACAAGCTGCATCCTAAGGTGTGTGTGTCCCATCTACGGGTTACTTCCAATACACGCTGTTCCATTTAAAAGCTACACCCTAAGGTGTGTGTCCCATTTACGGATTACTCCCAATACACGCTGTTCCATTTACAAGCTACACTCCAAGGTATGTGTTCATTGCGAACCACATCCAATACACGCTGTTCCATTTGAAAGCTACACCAAAGGTATTTGTTCCATTGCGAATTACTCCCAATGAAAGCTGTTCAATTTACAAGATACATCCCAAGATATGTTTCCCTTTACGAATTACTCTCTGAGTCTGTTACATTTGCGATTTACATCTTGGGAATGCTGTCCCATTTACAAGACACAGCCTTTGGTGCCCATCATGTACATTTGCATATTACCTTCTAAACAATACGTCCCTTACAATGGCTTGTACAACAATTAGGTTGAATTGGACCCCTAAGTTATATATATGAACCATCGGATATTAAATATTGAAATGTGCCAGTCTAGGGTACCCATGTGAACTATCCAAGTACAAATTATACACATCATTATAATACAACATAAGACACAACGCTAATGTACCGAGAATGATTTATTTTACGTGCTCTTATTTTTTTAATCAACTATACAATATGTGATACCATGCTTGAAATTTGAAATTATATACTTTGATATTATAAAATAACGATACCTGCAAATTAAAGAGATGCCAGAATGACAACATTTCCTTTATGGTAACTAGTCATGTTTAGCAGGTTGATCCGCAAACTTATCTTAAAATAGTTGAATGCAAAAAAGACGCTCAAAGTAAAATGGTGTATTTGTGCTGCGTGAATATTAGTTCACTATTAATAGTCACGAGTCACGATGTTCATCCAAGTATGAATACATACGAGAATAAAATTAAGTCATAGAATGTGTAATATCTGTATTTTTTCTGAAATGCTACATTTATGTCATTAATAATTTGTGGGTATGCATTATGTACAATAACATTAACATGTGTGTATTTTATTATTTATGTGTCATATTTTATGGTAACGTCGCATTATTGAAATATATTAAAAATTGTATCTTATTGATTAAAAAACATCATATTGAAACATAAGTATTATTAGCATAAGTATTTGGAGATCATTATGAACATGAATTACTTTATTTCAAAATTTTTGTATTTTAATGTTAACCAATGACTTATGTGGCCATGTATCTGATTGTTATAGAACTCATTTGCGAGTCGACAATATCGTATGAGATGTTAAATATATGAATTTATTCAGTAGTATCGGGTAGCTGTTTTATAAAGTGTGTGCTATCTTTTAAATGTATTATTATTATACTATACTAAAACTAATATATCAACATAAGCCATGGATATATTCAATAATAAATGAAATCAACTCAATTAGCATGAGATTATCATTATACAGGCGATGTAAAATAATGACAAACTATAACTCCTTCTCTTAAAAAAAATCGTTACATAAGTATTTACATAAAATTGCATAAAGTAATTTTATATAATTGTCACCATTAAATGATGGGTGTTTTATGTGGATTATACTGTCAAATATAAGTATACATAAATTACAAACATCGAACACGTGACGAGTATATCCTTCATGATTGGAGGATGTGCAAGTTGTGTGACAAAGATAAAATTGGCAATGACACCATTCTATAATAAATTGCTCAAATGCAAACATTTTAGTATAACAACATTTCTCTCACAAAATCACCTTTTCAGAATTTGATAAATTTAGTGAATGATGCAAATTTATATATTTACTAAATGCTTCAGATAGTAAGCATATAATAGCTTTTGCAAACTATGTATATATATTCCATGCTGTTGATAGTTGAGTTTAATAGTTGCATTATGAGACCATACATTGAAACTATTGTAGGCGCCTAAAAGCAAAACAGCGTCTGCTCACTCTGTAGTTCCGACTCGTATGTTAGGCGTCATGCCATTGGATAATTGTTATGCGTGATTTCCGATGTTATCGACCATCTCCGAACCAAGAATTTTTATTCAATTTTCTTCATATCCGTGATATTAAATATCAAATATGTGAAAAAAATTTTAAAAATATTATTACTTTTGTGTAGCGTTCCACACAGTGACGAAATGCTCCAATACTTATTTTGCTTTCGTCGAACCTCACGTGAAGTTTTGACGTCAGTATGACCTTTGTTTTTCACGAGAGATCTCGTAATAAACAGAAATGGTATTTTATATCTCGCCATACTTTGGGACCATCAGCACCGATATGCAAACAGCTATGAAGATAAACAAATAGATATAGAAACATGCACGGTCGACATTTCTAATAAGTGCCTCCCACTCATTCTTTGTGACCTCCATCTAAAAGAAAAGAAGAAACAAAATAACATTTTAAAACAGAATAGTATTTAGGGATATTGAAATATCCCATTTTTTAGGAAATTTTGTCTCGCAGGGCGATAAAATATATAATGTTCTTTTCCATAAATAAATCGTATTTAGAATGACGGTTACCTGAGTTTGGAGGCACGTATATTTTTCTTGCGTTCTTTCGGCCTTATTGCTGTTTTTACTAGACACAGCTCGATGTCTTCCACTGGCATATGCTTCATTTTGCCGTCTGAAGGCATCATTTTCAATTGTTATCATACTATCATGGTGGTTGTCGGTCGAGTCAGACCTGCCACGTGTCACACCACCACAACATCCGCTTCTTCCCAGGCACAGTTTGCGAGTGACTTTTCCTACCGGTCGCCCGGATGTACTTTTTCTTTGCATATTGATCACAATGGTACTAATGATGACCGCCGTTCCTATCACTGCCATGTCAAACAATATCACGTGACCAATAAGTGGGCCTCTATTTGTATTTGTAGGAATTATTTCAGCTACCAACAGTTCAAATACACTCATTGTTACCAAAAGCGAAACGCTTAAACTAATTCTCTCGCCACAATCCGGGGGTAGCCAAAATGCACAAAGCGACAAGCCGGATAGCATGAACGTAGGTACGATAATATTCATAAGGTAATATGAATAGACCCTTTCAAGGTGTATCTCGAAAGTTGCGACTGGTTGTTCTTCCGGCGAGAGAACGGAAGTCTTAACAGAGTTCACGTGTGTGTTTACTTCCAGGACTGTCCACTCGTAGTTTTGAAACAATACGAAGTCATCCAATGACACGTTTTCCTTTACGAGTATTTGGAGTTCTGCACTGAAGTATGTCCTTGAAGAGAATCGTATATTACATGTTTGCGAATCAAACGGAAAATACGTCATGTCTAGATAACAATGACTTGCTAACATGGCGTGGTTGAGTGACAGCACTGTTCCATTGGACTCTATGCGTACATAAGTAGGCTTGGAGGGCAATTCACCCTCAATAAATCTGTTAAGAAAGGAAATAGTCAATGTCACAATCAATGTATCTACTAATCACGATCACAAACCCTTTCACTTCTTGGTGTTGTTTCTCAAAAATATTTATAAATTCCCATTCAAGCTGAAACGAGTTAATTATATTGTCCAACTTGAATGAGATATCAAATATCTGAATAATTAATTATTCGTAAGTATAACTCACGTGTTCTCTAAATACAATTCTGGAAACCAAACTTTCTCGGATGGTACTAATAACCATTGTATGTCGCTGTAATTAGACGCATTCCAACTCAGACGATAATCAATCCAGGTCTGAAAATAACAGGGTATTTTTTTTTAAATAATTTTGTTCAGTTTCCACATATGTTTATACGTAATTGGTTGTTTGCAATGGCATGCATATCAAGACGTAATATACACGGATTATTTTGCAAGTACTGAGCAATTTCTTGGCATTTATTTATTCAAACTAACCAATGATAGAAAAGATGCATTTGTGCAAGAGTGATTGACTTAATTTTCTTGTGGTGTAGTATGAGAAGGGCACTACTGATCATTTCTATTGCTTACCATAAAGTGTATTGTTTACAGTGAAACTATGGAAAGCAGTGTGCACTCTAACAAGAGTGTGGGGATTTGAAAATGGAATGACCCCAAATCATGTTGAATCGGTTTGTTGACTGTTGGGGAGGTCACTTTTCGGGGGGAGTAATTGCTGTAATAAGCAATTGCTGTGGTTCCCGATTTCATTAGTTTTCACACTTATTGTGTTTATGTCTTTTTATGTTTTTCCCTATTCCCCTAGTATGTAATGACCTAGATTATTTCATATGTTATATAACTATGTGTAAACAACCTTGTGAAAATTATTGTATGTCGTTAGTTTTCTACCAATTATTGTAATAATATTCACATTTATTATATACGATGGGTCGAGTTGATGACCAAACTTATACTTCCAAAAATGTTGAGGTTTTAAATTAAATTGTTTAAAATAACTTTAAAAGTAATATGGAATAATAATAGTAAAATAATAACAATGCAAAATATGCCTTTGTATACCTGTTTGAATTTAACATTCGACATCATCAGTTTGTTTTTTTCATCCTGTAAATTGAAAATGAAATTAATGATGGTGTTGAAATAAGTAGTGTATTCAGACGTGATAATTATAGCGGCCTCGTTTTCAGTGTACGTGTTACCTGTATGTGTGTGGGTTGAAAAAACAGCCTTATTTAGACTAAAAATGTCTATAGACAATGTAGTAATATAATTCATATACAACATTGAACAAAAAAGCGTCGGTTTCTTGAATGCAAAGATTGCAAAAATTATTCTCTTCTATCAGCTCGGTAAATTAGAAAATATATATTTCGACACAGTTTAGTGAGGTCACATGTAACTATAACAACTATAAAAACTCCCTTGAGATTCTAGAAAGTGCAACAATATTTGATTATTATTCGCAGATAAAGTTAGACATTCAACTTACATACGCAGTATGAATGTGGCAAATTTGAGTCAATGTGTGTTTTAATTAAATGTAACAAACGGTGTAACTATCCATTTGTCGAACTGCGTCAATTTGCAATGTTATGGAACTAGAAAAATACTGGTAGTAAGTATGTACTAAGTTTTAATACATTTGAGCAAACTGTTAGAATATCAACATAATATGCTGAAAGTAGGTATAATTAATACCCACATTAGATCAATATTATATGCACATTAATTCCAAAGTAGTGTTTGACATTTAAGGTATTTAGTTAATATTTAATCCCTAATTTTAGAACAATTCCATAGAACACAATATTAAAGAAAATTGAATTTTTTTTAAAACTCGGGACAACAATAAGTACCCCAACATTAGCAATAACTATATTTCTTTCAGCCCATGTCACAAACTAAACTTTAAGATATGACATAATATCTCGTAGAACTAATGGTAAAAGCATTACAAAACCGCCAAAATGACAACTATTTCCTGAAACACAACCACCATATTTAAATGAGGCTATTGACCCCAACTTTTAATTGAATATCGTAATATTGGCTTAGAGTACAAATTATTGCAAAATGAATGCATTCTGAGTACTTTCTTTATTCAATTCTACAAATTGTTTTGAGGATTTCAACAACACATGAAAGTAGTTGATTAGTATGCAAATTGCCTAGATAAGCTATAGTGTCATATAAGACGACATAATCTTCTATTGTTTAAATTCGAAATATTTCTTTGTTGTTGTCTCAAGGATGCTGATTGGTGGATCCAGCTTTTTGACGCGCCCAATTAAATTATACATTTTACACCTAACGCGACCACGCATAGGTTCACAGGAACGGCCATTGATTGTCGGCGTCAGTGAAAGTGACGCGCTTAACAAAGTATCTGTGTATCAAATTGCATTCCAATCTACCCATTGGTTCTAGAGATAATAGCGGAATAAGATTTGACAGACAACCGTATTACATTGGCCTTCGATGCGTGTCTAATATTATTTAGTTGGAACATGATTGTTTTGATTATTATATGCTGGTTATATGGATGAGTATATGTTAATTAATTCTAAGAAGATTGTGTAATTGTTATCAAATACTCTAGACATGACTCTTGTCATTCAAAAGAGAAAACAATACAATAAATTGTTAAATTCACAGTTCAGCCCAACTAGTTCCTTCTGTAAATTGTACAGTGTTTTCGCGAAGTGAAACCTTCAACATTTCTTACGTAATAACAAATATTTGTATACACATTATGACAACAATAAGCAATTTTTATAAGATGCTGTAAATGCAAATTTAACTTACAATGTCTGGGATTTTAACTACAGCTAGGTCGATGCAGACATCTACAATATTTGATTTGGTCTCTACAGGTCTTGTCAGCTTGTTATAGCTACTTAGAAGGTCTTTCAACAACTCGGCCTCTTCATCTGCCATTACGTCACTCAAGATTGCTATAAGTACACATTAAGGACTTACAATAGGTATGTATAGGCTATACTGTAACATGGAAATGGTTTATACTGTTGTGTCATTGAAAAGTAATTTACACAATGTATAATGCATGGCTTTAACAAGATTTGTAGAATATAGGTGCTACATATGTCTTTCAGTTGTAACCAGTTCAATGTTTTTTTTGAAATATATGATAGTTTTTAATGGATATGTCTTGATCGCGAGCATCAGAAACACGTACGAGATTAACAATATATCAAAATAACAATGTGTTAATGTCATAACAGCTTGAGAGAGACAGTTTTGGTGAAAAGAGTATGTCTGATGAGATAGATGTGTCAGACTGCCTGGTGGGACAGGTATGAAATGTTAGCAGATCATATGTCACTTGTTTCTTAATATAATTACTTACAAATGTGTTAATTATATTGCCAATATAAGGCCACCTTCGACGACGGCATATACGTCATAATTCAGAAAGAACACGGGACACAGAGAGAAGTATTGTATACTGCACAGCTTGGCGACGAAAGTTTGTTACTTAATATAAGAAATAATCGATCATTATTACCTGATATAATTAATATTCCGAGCCACTGGAGTGTTTTTTTAGGTGATTGCATTATTGAAATCCACATTGTAGTACACGTATGTATATGACACACAACGCTGTTACATGTACTAGTTACAAGATGCTGCTGTTCCATTTATACCTCGCCGAAATGCTATTCCAATTACAAGCTTCACCCCAAGGTGTGTGTCCTATTTAATAGTTACTTCCAATACACGCTGTTCCATTTACAGACTACACCCAAAGGCATGTGTGCCAATGAATGAATTACTCCCAATGAATGCTGTTCAATTTAGAAACTACATCCCAAGATATGTTTTCCTTTACGAGTCACTCTTCGAGTCTCTTTCACTTGCGATTTACACCTTATGAATGCTGTTCCATTTACAAGTCACACCCTAAGATAGGTTAACACATTGTTACCCTCTAAACAATGTGCCCCTTATAATGGCACGTGACACAATTAGGTTTAATTGTATATTCAGATATATGTGCGAACAATCGGACAAAAGACATTGAAATGCGCCAGTCTAGGCAATGTGAACCATCCAAGCACAAATTATAATACAACATAAAACACAACATTAATATGCCGAGAATGATTTATTTTATCTAAAACACGTGACATGCTTTTAATTTTTTAATCTACTATAGTATGTGATACCGTGGTTGAACTTTAAACTATATATTTTTCTATTAAAAAGGAAAACGATGCCCACAAATTAAAGTGACATTTCCTTTATAAATAAGTAGTCTTTTTAGCCGGTCGATCCGCAAAGTTATCTGAACATACTTCAATGCAAAAAAGACGCTCAAAGTTAAAGGGTGTATGTGTGCTGCGTCAATACTAGTACTAAAATAGTCATGATATTCATTCAAGTATGAACACGTAGGGAAATAGAATTAGGTTATATAATGTGTAATAACTGTATTTTCCTGAAATGCTACATTTATGTCACTAATAATATGTGGGTATGTATTGGGTACAATTGAATTATTATGTGCCATGTGTGTATTTATTATGTATGTGTCATGTTTTATGTTAATGAAATGTATGTCTGTTATTGATTTAAAAAAACACATATTGAAACATGAATGCCATTGGTAAAATTATTTGTAGATCATTATAACATTAATTACTTTATTCCAAAATGTTTGTATTTTAATGTAGCACACTGTTATTGGCCATTGATTAACATAAATGTGACCTTGTATCTGATTGTTATATAACTCATTTGCATGTCGACAATATCGGATGAGATGTTAAGTATATGAATCAGTCGTGATTTTTAAGGTATGTGTTACATTTAAATGTATTACTATTCTAAAGCTTTAATATATCATCATAAGCCATTGGTATATTCCAGAATAAATGAAATGAAATTAATTATCACAAGGCTCAGTGAGTTGAAATAACAATAAACTATAACTTCTTCTCTTAAAAGCTATGAACTTTACATCCCATGTGTTGGATGTTATGGAGTACGTATAATTAACAATCTTCCTAATATTATTTACATAATATTGCATAAAATACTCCTATAATATTACTGTCATTATTAAATGATGGATGTTTTTATGTGGATTACGCTATTAAATATAAGTGCAGCCAACTTACGAATATATAAACAGGTACAATTTTTAAACAATATTAATATTAATAGATCAATATAGTTGGTATATGTCATCCATTGTCTCACAATAGAAAATTTGATATCATGAGCAGAGAAACTGGAAAAGTGATATATATAGCATCTTGTTTGTGTGTTTTTTTTCTACTGAACATATGTTATTCTATTGCGGCCAGATTGATTTGTCCGGAATGATCTGTTCTCCAATTGTCTCCAATTCCTCTCTACGATTTGCGCGCGACTTCCGATGTACTAATTTTAACAAATGATCCATGCTTACAATATGCTAATCATAGATGGCGCAGATGTATTGTCCATCAGTGTACGCTGACATCTCATTCTGAGATGAGTGATAGAATAATATAATTCCATACTCCACACAATTTCCAGTGACAATATTTCTCACACTATTTGAGTATTTTTCCCCACATACTAATTTTGAAGTCATTGTAGGTGTCTAACAGCAAAACAGCGTCCTCTCATTCTTTAATTCCGACTGGTATGCCATTATATAATATTTTATTCATGACTTCCGATATACTAATATTATAAAAAGCAGATTACAAAACTGTGGATTCCATGGTGATCACAAATTCCCAGTCGTCGGTGATATGAGGAAATAATACCAAGTAAGTGATTGATTGTTACATAGGAATAGATAATTTTCCATTTACTGTGAGATCTCGCATAATGCGTGAAAAGTGTGGACCGAAAGTTTGCTGCAAAAAATTTGAACGTGAATTTTTTTCATTGTTCAATGTTGAAATACCGAGCGTCCTGAAGGATATATGTTGTTGGGATACACACAATTCATCAACATTGACCACCATGAAGTGTGTATAGCATATTATACTAAGGTAGTGTGATGAATTTGTTTTTGCGTATCTGTTAATCGACTTAATTAGCTGATTACTAGCGAATGGTTGTGTTATGTCTGTCATCGTTTAGGCCCATGCGAGGTTCCGGACGGAACTTGGTTCAGTGATTTGGAACTAATTACAATATAACAGTCGCTATTCGGACTACTATTTCTGACAGTTGGTATTCGCAGTTACTAATATAGTGAACGATTAATCAATAGATATGACGTGTTCAGTACTTAGTGTGATTGGCTGTGTGATTTAAGGTTACGCCCTAGAGTCTTTATACTTCTTTGTAATTGGTTAAGGTTTTGAAAGTGAATAAAGTTGTTTTAGTTGGTCTTGGCGAGTACACGAGGAGAGACGCAGTCTTGGGAGAGTCTTGGGGCAGTCTATATAGTGTCTTGGGCCAACCTTGCGATAGTCTTGGGGACTTTTCCCCAGGGTGCTCTGTCTTATAGAGTGCTAGACTGACCGACTAAAGACGAGAGTTGAAACGTATTTCGTTGTGTGCGTCTATTTGACTGTAAGGTTTAAGTGACGTTCCCGATCACGTAACTCAAGGGGACGCGATAGAGAGACGAGACGATATTCCCCCTGACACGTATGGAGTTCCCGAGAGGAGAGAAATTTCCCCCGTCATAGTAGAATACTAATCGCGAGTTTTATGTTACATGTACGCATATTTTAGCGCATCTGAGTTGTAATATTTTGTGTCAAAATCTGTATAAAATTATTTGTTTTAGTATAATAATTTATTATCAAATATGTAAAAATGGAGAAAATGACAATATTTCTACTTTTGTGTAGTTTTCTACCTTAAGCGTCAAAATTCCCGAAAATAGTTTCGCGTATGTCGAACCTTTGTGAAGTTTTGACGTCACTACGATATTTGTCACGTTTTTACGTTCGATTTCACGCGAGATCTCGTAGTAAACAAAAAGTAGTATTTTATATCCGGCCATACAATGGAAACGTCAGCACCGATATGCAAACTGCTATAAAGATGAATAAATAGATATAGAAAACTGTACGGTCAACATTTCTAATAAGTGCCTCCCATTCGTTGTTTGTGACTTCCATCTAAAAAAGAAGAAAACAATGTAACAATTTAAAAGAGAATAGTATCCAAACAAACTGGAATATTCCATTTATTAGTCTCGGAGAGCGACCTAACAATGATCTCGATTCACGTATTTATAATGATTTTGACGGTTACCTGAGTTTGGTGGCACTTATTTTTTTCTTGCGTTTTTTCGGCCTTATTGCTGTTTTTGCCTGGCACATCTCGAAGTCTTTCAATGGTATACTCTTCTCTTTGCCGTCTGAGAGCATCATTTTCAATTGTCGTCACTCTATCATCACATTCTACCCCATGGTTGAATATGTTTGACAGAACAACATGGTCATAATGGTTGTCGGTCGAGTCAAACCTGCCACGTATTCCACCACCACGACATCTTCTTCCCAGGCACAGTTTGCGAGAAACCTTTCCTACCGGTCGCCCTGAAGTACTTTTTCTTTGCATATTGATCACAATGGTACTAATGATGACCGCCGTCCCAATCACCGCCATGTCAAACAATATCACGTGACCGATAAGTGGGCCTTTATTCGTATTTGTAGGAATTATTTCAGCTACCAACAGTTCAAATACACTCATTGTTACCAAAAGCGAAACGCTTAAACTAATTCTCTCACCACAATCCGGGGGTAACCAGAAAGCACAAAGCGACAAGCCGGATAGCATGAACGTAGGTACGATAATATTCATCAGGTAATATAAATAGACCCTTTCAAGGTGTATTTCGAACGTCGCGACTGGTTGTTCTTTCGGCGAGAGAACGGAAGTCTCAACAGAGTTTACGTATGTGTTTACTTCAAGGACTGTCCATTCGTAGTTTTGAAACAATACGAAATCATCCACAAACACGTTCTCTTTTACGTGTATTTGGAGATCTGTACTGTAGTATGTTATCGATGAGAATTTTAGATTGCATGTTTGGTAATCAAACGGGAAATACGTCATGTCCAGATAACAATGACTTGCTAACATGGCGTGGTTGAGTGACAGCACTGTTCCATTGGACTCTATGCGTACATATGTAGGCTTGGAGGGCAATTCACCCTCAATAAATCTGTTAAGAAAGGAAATAGTCAATGTCACAATCAATGTATCTACTAATTCACTTATTATTTCACAACTACAAACCCTTTCACTTCTTGGTGTTGTTTCTCAAAATTATTTATAAATTCCCATTCAAGCTTTGATGAAATAACATAAATCTGAGAAATAAATTATTCGCAAGTATAACTCACGTGTTCTCTAAATACAATTCTGGAAACCAAACTTTCTCGGATGGAACTAATAACCATTGTATATCGCTGTAATTAGATGCATTCCAACTCAGACGATAATCAATCCAGGTCTGAAAATAACACGGTAAAATTTTAAAACAATTTGGTCCAATTTTCATACATGTTTATACGTAATTGGTTGTTTTCAATGGCATGTACTTCAAGACGTAATATACACGAATCGTTAGGTATTTTGCGAGTACTATTCAATTACTGAGAGTATTTAAAAGTGTATCATTTGTTGGCATCTCTTAAAGTGATATTCACTAGCAAATGATAGAAAGATGCGTTTGTGCAAGTCGGGAGTGATTGACTTAATTTTCTCGTGGTGGATGTTTACATAAGTAGCATGGGAAGGGCACTTCTGATAATTTCTGTTGCTACCATAAAGTGTGCATTCTAACAAGACGGATTTAGTGCGGATTTCAAAACGGAATGACCTACAGTTATGTTCAATTCGTTTGGTGACTGTTCGTTAGGTCGGCCTATGAGAAAAAAATATTGTAAGTGATTGCTGTTTTTCCTGATTTCATTGTTTTTCATACTTATTTTGTTAATTTTTTTTCAGTCGTGTATAAAAAATTTAATTTTATCTATAACTATAGTAAGATGTTTTCAGAATCACTATATCAATATATGATTTTCTGTCAGTAAATTACCACATCTTGTTGAGTGACAGCAAGTCTGTAGTGGCGCGCAATACACATTAGTTAACTTCAATAATATTGTCAACAACCCACATGTTTGGGACTTATGCTATGCCGAATTACAAGCATATAGTTTATAAATGTATCATCCGTGTTATTCATTGCGAGCCTGCAAGTCTTTCCCAGTGTTTTATGACACCTGGTAATAACGTAGTTATTGTATGTCGTTACTATTGTGACAATAATAACATTTATTATGTGAGCTAAGTATAACTATTTGAATTATGTCTCTAACCTCTTCAGTGGCTCAGAACTTGATAGGACGAGTTGATGACCAAACTCATATTTCAAAATGTTGTGGTTTGAACTTAAATTGTTTAAAAGCATTTTTAAAGTAATATGAATCAATAATAACATAATAACAGTACAAAATATGCCTTATATACCTGTTTAAATTTAACATTCGACATCAGGAGTTTGTTTTTTTCATCCTGTAAATTGAAAATAAAATTAATTGTGGTTTTAAAATAAATAGTGTATCTAGACGTGATGTGAGAATGTACGTGACCTGTATGTTTGTTGGGATCCTATATATTTCGACAGATAGAACACATTGAGTTTCAGTGAGATCACAACCTAAAACTATTAAAAACACACTAGAGTTTTAGAAAGTGCTCCCATGTGAAGTGAATTCAATATTTTTCATTTTTACTGAACCACTGAGATACAAATATTTCTGCCTCAGCATTGCTCATTGTGCTTTATTTAATGAATCACAATCAATGGTACGGCGTAATTCAATCTATTCAACAAAACTACAACATAATTATTCGCAGATAAAGTCAGACATTCAATTTACATACGCAGTATGAATGTGGAAAATTTGAGTCAATGTGTGTTTTAATTTAAATGTAACAAACAGTGTCATTATCCAATTGTCGAACTGCGTCAATTTGCAATGTATCAGTAATGGAACTAGAAAAATAATTACAATGATCATTGGTTTATTATGTACAGTTAAGGGTTAAGATTCATGTTTTTGAGAAACTCGTCCTTAATATTTTTAAAAATCCATATTTTAAAACAATTTCATAGAATATCAGGCAATGTTACAAAAAATTGCCATTTTCGACATTTTAAAAATTATTTAGGACAACAATAATTACCACAACTTTATAAATAACATAAAGATAAGATCTCGATGGAACCAACGCATTATAAAACTGCTAAAATGGCAACTATCCACTAAAATACAACCACCATTTTCAAATTAGTCTATTGACCCCAACATTTTAAATTCAATCCTAATATTGCACTGAAGTACAAATTATTGCAAAATGAATGCATTCAGGGTATTTTCTACTTTATCTACCAAAAAAGTAAGTAACAATGGTTCATTCATTTGAGCAAAATGCTTTGAAGATATCAGCAACACGTACATGAAAGTAGTTAGTGTGAAAATTGCCTAATTCACGGAAACGGCCATAAATGGGCGGCTCCAGCGAACCGTACGAATAAGACATGTACGAAAAAGCATCACAAAGAATCTGTGTATCAAATTCCAATCTACCTGTTTGTTGTCAATATATTAATAGAACAAGATTTGGCACATCCACACAGACAGCCTCCGATTCGTGGCTAATATCATTTAGTTGGAAAATGATCGGTGATTATTTTTCGCCAAATATGCTAATTAATTAACACTTAAGGAGAGTGTGTTATCGCGATCATATACTCTTGACCTGTTTCTTGTCATTTAAAAGTAAACAAAATTGTTACATCACATCACAGCTCAGTTCACATCCTAAAAATGTGTGTTTTTGCGAAGTGTAATCTTCAACATTTGTTTCGTAATAACAACTAGTTTTATATACATTGTGATGACAACAAGCATTGCTATAAGGTGCTGTAAATGCAAATTTAACTTACAATGTCTGGGATTTTAACTACAACTAGGTCGATGAAGACATCTACAATATCCGATTTGTTCTCTACAGGTCTTGTCAGCTTGTTATATTTACTTAGGAGGTCTTCCAACAACTCAGCTTCTTCATCTGCCATTACGTCACTCAAGATTGCTACAAGTACACATTAAAGACTTACAATAGGTATGTATGGGCTATACTGTAACATGGAAAGGATGTATACTGTCGTTTCATTGCAAAGTACTAGTAATTTACACAATGTATATTGCATGGCTTTAACATGATTTGTAGAGTATAGGTGCTATGTATGTCTTGCAGTTGCAACCATGTCATTTTGTAAAGAAATAAATGTGAGGTTTATACTAGTTCTTGTGGGATATGTCTTGATCGATGCAGATAAGATCGTCGCCTGTTTCGTAATATATTTATTTACAAGACAAATATGTTGAATATTTTGCCAATATGAGGCCACCTTCGACGACGGTATATTCTTAATGATAATTCATGAAATTTTACAGAGAGAGTAAGGAAAGTGTTTATTCAGGGTTACATGTGACCAACAGAGAGAAATATGTATTGTATAGTGGCGACGAAAGCCTGTTACTTCCAAACATAATAAAAATAATCGATCTTAATTACCTGATATAATTAATATTCCGAGCCACTGGAGTGTTATTTTACGTGGTTGCATTATTGAAATCCACATTGTAGTACACGTACATATATGACGCATAACGCTGTTACATGTACTAGTTACAAGATGCTGCTGTTCCATTTATACCTCGCTGAAATGCTATTTCTTTCACAAGCTACACCCCAAGGTGTGTTTTTCATTTACGAGTTACTTCCAATGCACCTGTCCATTTACAATATACACCCAAGGTATGTTTTCTTTTATGAGTTACACTCTGGGTCTGTTACATTTGCAATTTTCACCCTAGAAATGCTGTTCCGTCACACGCTAAGATGGGCTGTCACATTTGCAAGTTACCCATTGAACAATGCGCCCCTTACAAAGGCATGTAACACAATTAGGTTCCATTGTATATTCAGGTCTATGTGAATTGGACCCCTAAGTTTTATGTATGAAATATTGAAATGTGCCAGTCCAGGCAATGTGAACCATCCAAGCATAAATTATACACATAATTATAATACAACGTAAGACACACAACGCTAATGTACCGAGAATGATTTATTTTATTTAAAACATGTCACGTGCTCCTAATTTCTAATCAACTGTACAGAATATATGATATCATTTTTGAACTTATTTGAACCATGGTTTGAAATTACATACTTTGCTATTATAAAATAAGGTACCCACAAATTAAATAGTTACCAGAGTGATAACAATTCTTTTATGGTAACTAGTCTACTTTAGAAGGTAGATCCGCCAAATTATATGATAATATTTTAATGCAAAAAAGACTCTCAAAGTAAAAAAGAATATTTCACTCTAAACACTCCCGATATTCATCCAAGTATGAATACGTACGGAAATTGAATTAGGTTATATGATGTGAAATAATGGTATTTTCCTGAAATTTATTTACATGTATGTATGTATTTATTATGTATGTGTCATGTTTTATGGTAATGTAACATTAATGAAATATATGTTATTGATTCAAAGAATCATATGAAATTATAAATATTATTAGCATAATTATTTGTAGATCATTATAACTTTAATAACTTCATTTCAAAATAATTGTATTTAAATTTAGCAAACTGTTAACTATTAATTAACATAAATGTGACCTTGTATCTGATTGTTATATAACTCATTTGCGAGTGGACAATATCAGATAAGATGACAAATATATGAATTTATTCAGTAGTATCGGATAGTTGTTTAGTAAAGTGTGTGCTACCTTTTAAATGTATTATTATACTAAAGCAAATAATATATCAACATATATTTCAGAATAAATGAAATTAAATCAATTATCACCAGATCATACATTTGAGTTAAAATAACAATAAACTATAACTTTTGCTCTTAAAAGCTATGACCTTTACATCCCATGTGTTGGATGTTATGGAGTACGTATAATTAACAATCTTCCTAATATTATTTACATAATATTGCATAAAATACTCCTATAATATTACTGTCACCATTAAATGATGGGAGTCTTTATGTGGATTATGCTGTTAAATATAAGTGCAGCCAACTTACGAATATATAAACAGATAACAATTTTAAACAACAATAATAATATTATTAATATTATTAATAGATCAATATATGTTTGAGTTTTATCTACTGAAAATATGTGATTCTATTGTGACCAAATTGATTTGTCCAGAATGATCCGTTCTTCAATTGTCCAATTCCGCTCTACGATTCGTGTCTGACTTCCGATCGCGATGTACTAATTTTATCAAATAATCCATGCTCACAATATACTTATTATAGATGGCGCAGATGTATTGTCCACCAGTGTATGCTCACAGCTCATTCTGAGATGCGTGATAGAATAATATAATCCCATACCCCACACAATATCCAGTGATAATATTTCTCACAGTAGTTGGGGATTTTTCCCACATACTAATTTTGAATCCATTGTAGACACCTAACAGCAAAACAGCGTCTGCTCACTCTGTAGTCCCGACTGGTATGCCATTATATAATAGTTTTGCGTGACTTCCGATGTACTAATATTATAAAAAGCAGATGACAAAACTGTGGATTCCATGGTGATCACAAACTCACAGTCGTCAATGAAGTGACTGACCGTTACGTACGAATAGTTAATTTTCCGTTCACTGCGAGCGAGATCTCGCATAATGCGTTAAAAGTGTGTAACGTGTGCGGCAATAATCGAATGATTTTATCTTGAACGTGTTTTTTGTTATAGTTAAATGTTAAAATGCCGAGCTTTCAGAAGTAAATATGTTGCTGGGATAGACACAAATCATCACCATTGACCATCATCAAATGTGTATAGCATATTATACTAAGGTAGAATACTAATCGCGATTTTTTTGTTACTTGTACGCATATTGTAGCGCATATATCAGTAGTAATATTTTGTGTCAAAATATGTATACAACTATTTGTTATAGTAATAGTAAACAGTATGTGATTTTTTTGTTGGTTCACTATCTATCTGTTTTTGTTTTTTGTAGCGATTTTCATTGACCACATTTGTTCGATAAAAACCCTCTAGAAATATTATCAATTGTTTAAAATACTTCTAGACATCACAAAGTACATTGTTAGACACTATATATTTCTTTTCCACCATACGTCACCGAGAAAAAAATTGACAATATTGAGATATATCCGTTTTATAACAAACAATGGTAATTTCCTTAAAACAGGCAAAACTTGTTATTTTCACTCCATTTTGTGCATCGATATTCTCTGAACCAAATAGAGTTAAGCCAATATTTTTATTCCATTTTCTTCATCATCGGGATATTAAATATCAAATATGTAAAAATGAAGAGAATAACAATATTTTTACTTTTGTGTAGCGTTCTAAAGCGTGGAAACATTCCGAAATTAGTTTCGCGTTTGTCCAACCTCACGTGGAGTTTTGACGTTTTGATATTTGTTTGTCACGTGTTTACGTTCGATTTCACGCGAGATCTCATAGCAAACAGAAAATGGTATTTTATATCCGGTAATGCATTGGGACCGTCAGCACCGATATGCAAACAGCTATGAAGATGAATAAATAGATATAGAAACATGCTCGATCAACATTTCTGATAAGTGCCTCCCACTCGTTCTTTGTGACCTCCATCTAAAAAAAAAGAAATAATGAATCATTATGAACAGAATAGTATCAGGAGATATTGGTATATCTTATTTATTGGAAAATTGTGTCTCGCTGAGCGACACAATACAATGTTCTATTCTATAAAATTACAATGATCTCGATTCCCGTGTTTAGAATGACTGTGGTTACCTGAGTTTGGTGGCATTTATATTTGTCTTGCGTTCTTTCGCCCTCATTACTGTGTTTACCCATGTCTTGATTTCTGTCACTGGCAAAGTCTTCTCTTTGCCGTCTGAGGGCGTCATTTTCAATTGTCATCACACTATCATCACATTCTATCCCATGGTTGTCGACATTTGCCAGAACAACATGGTCATGATGGTTGTCGGTCGACTCGGACCGGCTACGTGTCCCACCACCGCAACATCTTCTTCCGAGGCACAGTTTGCGAG